ATTCTATCTGAACAGTGTTCTTTTCCATTTGTTTATAAATTTTTGATAATCATTTGTTACATAAACATTTGTTAATCAAAATAATTACATAAGACCAAAAAACCACAAAAAATCGCTTTAGACTGCAACGTCGCCTCATGTCCATCTGACCATCTGTGCAAACAGATGTCCGTTGAAACTCCTTCTGTTGAGATGTAAGCAATTTTGTTGAAGTTAAATAATTTAAAATTGTTGAAGAATGATATAATAATATTAATTATCACCTTGGAGTTGACAATATTTAGGTGTGAATTGTTGTTTTGACAATTATGCTGTATCTTGAGGGCTTATTAGCCGAATTTGTTACTGCTCAGAGACCAGGGTTGACCATTCAAAGAAACTATTTCAAGCTTATTACTTTGTTTGGCTATTCTTTCATAAACTTTAGTTCGAACACAGCCCTGAATAATATAAAATTTATTTAAACAAATATATTATTTATTTCCATGAACCCAAAATTTATTCCAGGTTTGTATTTTTTCTTTCTTATCAAATTATCAATGGTATTCAATCTTTTACCAGTTATTTTTTTTTGTAATTAGATAAAGCTTTCAATAAAAATGCGAACGAATTTATATTTAATATTATAGTAACAGATTTTCTTTCAGACTAATTATAAGAGGGAAATAATTTACTATTTTATAATTTTTTTATTTAAGAAACAGTTATGGAATATTTCTATTTTTTCTATTTTATAAATATGACAGTTATACATGTCTCTGTGGTATTATGTTTTTCTATAAAAATATCTGTGCGTTTATACACGCAAATAAGGTCTCAAAGCGTATGCAAACTAATTATTTTTTAAAGCATATCATTGTTTTATCTGTGTAATAATTGGAATTCTTTTATAGGTATAAAGTATACACTTTTGTTTGTTATAAACATATTCTCTAAAAGTTCTTTTTAAAATCCGTAATGAATTCTAAGATTATATGTATAAGGTACACTTTAGATTTCTTATATTATAAGTGAGTAGCCGTTATTCTGTACGGTATATGTAATCATGTTTTGTAAAATATTCATGAATAGTGGAATCATTTAAAAAAAAAAATTATAAAACATTTGCATTCTCTACATTCGTACTGTAGTTACAAAATATGCTTCATCTGGTATCACCTTTTTTAAGATTTAGTCATATTTATTTTAATCATATAGAAATAACAAATATGAATAATTTCATTTTGATATATCGCCAAAAAAAGTATTATAAAACATATTTTTCGATGAACATATATAATAAAAGGTTGTCTACCCGATGGCCGGTCCGTTGTGTGAGAGCACCACAAAATCTCTGATCTATTATTTATTAAACAAAATTTTATTCCTAAGGATTTTAACACTTTTATGCAAGCTTTTATCTATGCGAAACTTCTAATTTCATACTTCCTATAAGTTTATTTATTGTATTGACTTCCTAATAACTTGGCATTTGGTTTTTTGAAGGCAACGTTTAGCCTATCTATATATATTTGATATCTTTTTATTTTTACAATTTTTCTAATACTGCTATTTTTTTAATTTATTGCAGCAATGTCAGGGAATGACTATTTACATTTATACACTGTCGTGTATATTTTCAAGTAAAACATAAGTCACTACTACTTGATATCGAGCTCGTTGAGATGAATATCAAATCTAGAGATCCATAGCCCTTGCGAAGAGGGGATGGTCTCAGGTCGCAACGGAGCACGAATGAGGTGTGTCAGTTATTATATTAGTTATTATAAAATATATCATTATTATTATTATATTATTTGTTATGTATATTACTATATTATAATAATATACATAACAATTTTCTGCTCATTGATAAATATGAATTAACATATATTTTAATATATAATACATGCGTTAGTCGATAAAGTTTCTTATATGAACCTTTGCACTCGATTGGAGACAATGTGTCGAAACTGTGTATTCTCTAGTTAGTTACATAGGGACCAATTCTCCTATAAAATAGAAATGTTATGACAACGCTATGTTACTGCCCTATACAGGAGCAGTATGAATTGATAGTAATGAACTGTCAAAAATCTGTGTATTACACACATTACAGCGTTTCATACATAAAATCTACCTAACCTACAAAACCTACAAAACGCACAAATGTTAAAAATACAAGTTTATCATAAGTGCAACTTTTTAATGTGTTCTTGACAATACGTATGTGAAGTTAAGTTTTATGTGGAAAACGCCTAACTGCACAGCAAATACAGGGCATTTTGATAGTTTTTATTAGCAAATCATACAAAGGTAGGACTGTAACAAATTGCATTACACTTTTATTTTCTCTGAGAATTGATTCCAAAGTTGCCACTATCCAGCGCTAAAAAATTGAAACAGATTTTTCATCATTATTTTTTTTTTTTGTAAACTTTTCTAAACATTTTTTGTTAAAAGTATATTCATTTTACTGGGTATGTTCTCAAAAAAAATCTGAAGCGCAAATGTAAAAGTATTTATATTTATATCGACATGCTAGTATGTCCGCGTTTATAGATTTTTTTATTTCTTTCCGAACAGTAATCAGAACCCTATAAGCTGTTGGGCTAATTTGGTTCAATACTACGTCAGTCTTTTACAGATGGTTTCCCAAACAGTTGTCCCATCTCTCTGTTATAATCTTATTATTACAATTACTGCAATATGGCCAATATTTTATTGATGCAGCAATGCCGGAAAATTTTTACTTCAAAACATATGGCTATATGTAGATAGCAAGTGAAAGCCGTTGTTACTACTGTTTGACATCAGGCTCCTCAAAGCGGGATCGAACCGTAGACCTTTAATTAGGTCCAGTCACTCTAGCTACTTAAATTAAATAAAAACTGGTGGTGCATGGCATCGTGCCTTTAGGCAACTGCTAGAACTGTACAAAAATGAAAATTGTTAAAAAAAAATTTAAAAATTTGTGAAAATTGAAAAAAATCAAATTTTTGAAAATTTTAAAATTCCTGAAAAAAACCTTTTTTTGGAAAATGATATTTTTTTATATTTGGAAACTTTGTGAAACGTTTTTTCGAAACTTTTTGAGCGTTTTTTTCAAAGCAATCGTTTTATGAAACAGATAAACATTGATACGGAACCTATAGAAATGAAAATAAAGTTTATACTTATTAATAAAAATCCTTATAAAATATCTGATAATTTAATGTGCATATGTCTATTGATCATTTGTGACCGCCAAATGGCTTTTTTACATTTTTCACTCCGAAACCGCGAGACGTGCCTTTCCAAAATTTTTTTAATAAGTTCTCCACTTTGTCAATACAACTACAATGTTTTTTGAATCCTTCAAATCGGACGCTCCGTTCTCTCAAAAACTGAATCGCAATTTTTGGCACTTTTTGTCCCATATCATCGAAACAGCTTGACTTGCTTCTGCCATAAACTAATTTGCACGTCTCCTTATCAATAGGAATCGAATATATCTTGAATCATTCAAATCGATTGATAGTGGGGTGTATGGCATCGTACCTTAAGCCAAATTCCTGGACTTCCCATACCGTAATTAAAAATCTTAGTACGGAACCCAAAAAAAAATTACACAAAATGTGTACACTATTAAAATCTCTATAAAATTTCTGATAATTTGATGTACAGATGTCCAATAAACATTTTTGAACGCCAATTGATATTTTTTCAACTTATTTTCATTGGGAGTCCATAACTGCTGGACCTGCCTTCCCAAAAATTTAATCAGTTCTTCATCTTGTCAATACAAGTAAAATGTTTTTCAAATTATTAAAATCGGACGCTCCGTTCTCTTAAAAACTGAGTTACCGTTTTTGGCACTTTTTGCCCCGTATCTTCGGAACGGCTAGACCTGCCTCAGCCAAAAACTACACAGCACGTCTCTATATCAATACGAATCGAATGTTTTTTAAATTATTCAAATCGGTTGATCCGTGTTCCCGAAATCGTCAACGACAATTTGTATCTGCACACACCTACACATACACATACACACACACATATATACACACATATACACACATATACACACATACACACACATACACACACATACATCCATTTTTTCTAGGGTATGCCAAAATGTTCAGACACCTTTGAAACGTAAAGATATATAAACATTTTCATTTTCGATTTTTTTGCGATTACCTTAACTTACCCTACGAGAAGTTAACTAGTGGTGTATGTCATCGTGCCTTAAGGTAAATTGCTGGAACTTCTCGTACCGTAATAAAATATTCGAAGAATATTAAATGTATTTAAATAGATTATTATAAACACTGCAACTTTTATTATTTGTATTTTATAGGCATAATATAAGATTTAGGTGCTTTTTTGAATCATTTAAATCAGATGCTTAGTTCTCTCAAAAACTGCCAGTTTTTGAACATTTTGCTATGTTTCTCCGAAATGGCTAGACCTGCCTTTGTCAAAATCTAATCACCACTATTCCCCATCATTACGAATCGAACCATTTTGGATCATCCAAATCGGATGCTCCGTTCTCTCAAAAACTCGATTTATATTTTCTGCGCTCTTTGCATCTCCGCAACGGCTAGACCTGTCTTTGCCAAAAACTATTCAGCACATCTCCCTAACAATAGAAATAGAATGCTTTCTGAACGAAAAATTGTATCCAAACATACATACACACATACACACACATACACACATACACACACATACACACATACACACACATACACATATACATCAATTTTTTCTAAGGTATGCCAAAATGTTCAGAAACCTTCGAAACGTAAAGACATGCAAAAAATTGCATTTTCTACATTTTTGGACGATTACTATAACTTACCCTACGGGAATTTAAAAATAATTCGTTCCAAATGTGCAACAATTCTCAAAACCCACCCCTGTCCTTCTCATATTCACCAGTGTATTGTGTCCAATGAGAAGGCTCCGTTGGGCGTGCCGGTGTCTCCCCGACTACAAAAACGGTTGAACCATCGCCAGCCGGCGCAGTCGTTGTTCCGAGCTTGCGAACAAAACAATTAACTCAAGAAAAAGTTAAATTTCAAGTGAACAAGAAGAGATAAATAAATATTTATTAATTTTATTTAAAAGTAATAATAAACAAATATGAGGGAAATCGTACACATCCAAGCCGGACAATGCGGAAATCAAATTGGCGCCAAGGTGAGTTTCCTTTAATGGTAATAATAGTTTCCTTTAGTGATAATAGTGAATTTTAGTGATTTGTGGTGATATGAATTTTGGTGATGATATTGTGAAGTTCAGTGCAGCTTGGGGGTCATTCATTGGAATTATTTAAAAAAATACAATTAAAAATTAATTGTTTCTTCAATGTGTTGTGAAAATATATTTAGTAAATTATCTTAGTATCTTATCCTAGAATGACTCCTAGGACTACCGTCGACTATCACTTTTATGAACTCTATTTACACATATCTTAATTTATATCACTTAATTTTGGTGTGATAAGATTGTGAATGACAAGCGGTGTTATTTGCCAGTGACTTTAATGAAAATCACGTTTTAAAATCCTATATTATTTATTCAAATTATAAATGAGTGTTTATTTAGATGAAAGTTTGTTTGAACTATCTCAAAGCATATATGTAGAGATGTTTTCGAACTCTATTCATTTTGGGTTTGTCTCATTTTCAAACGGTTAAAAATTAGAAATTAGTAAGTATTGATTTTTATCAATGTTGAGTAATTAATTAAGTTATTTTATATTTATATTTTATCTCTATTTAAAAAAAAACTAGCCAAAAATTGAGAAAATTAATTTTATCTCTTATAAATTTATATTTTATTTTTATTTAATTAGTAAAAATGAACTTTTTTTTGTTTTTATCAATGTTGAAAAATTATTTAATTTATTTTAAATATATATTTCATCTCTATTTTTATCTAAATGAGTTGAGAAATTAATTAATTTATTTTAAATTTATATTTTATCTCAATTTAAAAAAAATCTAGCCAAATTTATTTTATCTCTATTATAAATTTATATCTTATCTCTATATTTAATTAGTTAAAATGATTTTTTTTTGTTTTTATCAATGTTGAGAAATCATTTAATTTATTTTTAACATATATTTTCTCTGTTTTATCTAAATATTATCCTGAATTCAATTGTTATTTTTTAAATAGTCATTCAAAATATTTTTTTATCATATGAGATACCTTTATTCATTACGATTCTATATCAATTTATTTATTATATTTTATTAGTATGTATTATTATTTTTATGAGAGTTCGTTTGAACTATTTCAAAGCATATATGTAGAGATGTTTTAGAAATATTTCTTCTCTATTTTCTGAAAAAAAATCTAGGAAATAGAATTTTCTAAATATATAATTTCATAAATAGTTTATCAAACATCCTATGAGAAACTTTATCGTTATTTTTTTAGCTTTTTATATCAATTTATTTATTATTTTTCATTTCATAATTATTATTTTATTATTATGATAGTTGTTGAACTATCTAAAAGCATATAAATAGAGATGCTTTCAAATCAACTCATTTTGTGTTGTCTAATTTTCAAACAGTTATTAGAAATTATTAAAAATGAACTTGTTCATCAATGTTAAAAAAATATCTTTTTTTTAAAATGTATTTTATTTCAATTTTTTAAAAACTATTCTATAATATACGATTTTCTAAAAATATTAAATTCATATTTTATCTCTATTTTCAACTAATCATTATCCCATTTTTTAATTGTATTTTTATAAATAGTTATTCAGAATATTTCATTATCCTTTTATTGATTTTTTAAGCTTTCTTATATAAAATAGTTAATTTTTAATTTAAAATTAATATTTTATTTAGATGAAAGTTTGTTTGAACTATCTCAAAACATATAAGAACAGATGTTTTCAAAATCTACTCATTTTGTGTTCTCTTATCAGTAAAAATTAACTTTTTTGTCAACTTTGATAAACTTTTTAAAATAATAAATTCAATAAATTAAATTAATAATTTATCTCTATTTTCAACCAATCACTATTATTTTTAATCGTAATTTCATAATTTCATATATAGTCTATGAAATTCTATAAAGCTGATTTTTCATGTTTTTGGAAAGATTATTCCAATGAGAAATCTTCGTTAATTTATTGAAGTTTTTTCATATCAAATCATATCATGGTCATTATCATTTTTCTCTGAAGGAAAATCGTTATATATGATTTGGAGTTTTATAAATAAAATGAACTCTACAAATTGTTTATAATATGTAAAACAGTTAATAAAAATGAGAAAACGTTTTTCATCAATGTTGAGAGATGATTTAATTTATATTTTACCTATATTTTCAACTATTGATTATCCTATTTTTTAATGTAATTTCATAATTAGTCAATCAGGATATTTCAATCAGGATTTTCAATTTTCAGATGGCAATTGTCAAAATCCTTCGAAAGAAATCATTATCAAATGATTTCCTATCGTTCATGAAATTAAAAAAATAGTTAAATTGTGATTGAGATGAAATGAAAAGAATTATTGTAATATAGGTTTTAAATAAAGTATATTTTAAACCTTTCCACTCGCGAGTTGCAGAATTAATACGTATTTTGTCGGCGGAGCGGTGGCATCCGAGTGGAAAGGGTTAACATTTCTGAGTATAAATTCACAATCGATTATTTATTTTTTTATCAGATTAAATTCTTGCTACTGCATAGAGATAAATTTATCAAAAAATTAGTAAATTAATTAAAAGTTAGTGAAAATATAGAATTATTTATATATAGTCATTCCTAAAGTTTTTTTCTTAAGATAGTGAAAGCATAGTTGCTACATATATATTGTTAAAATTATTGTGAAGAGTAATTATTGGAATCGATTCTGCCTAATTTTTATCAGCTTTTTATATAATCTGCTGATTATAGAGAACTAATTAAATACACAATCAATCAACTTAATAAAATATTTAATTCAAAAATGATTTTTCTTAATTTCTGCTAGAATTCTGCTTATGTAATACATTTATTTTCAAATGCCTATAATAATAAATACTAACGATGATGATTTTACACTCAAAGACATAAGATTATTGATTTGCGGAATAATTTTCTACAAAACCCTCATAGAGCTTCTTTGAGATATTAACAATTATTTAAAATTTGATGAACCATAATTTCGATAAATATTATACTAAATAATTTATCAAATAAATCATCTTTAATAAGTTGTTTTAGAAAATATGTATTTGTTTAAACAGTGTAAGTACCGAGGAAAATAAATGTTCCATATTCGTTAATAATGTGTTCGAAATTCGAAAATAATTCGAAGTACATCGTTAAAGAAATATACTTAGGATTGTAAGGTTATATCACCACATTATCAATTCATGTATTCGTGGAACTATAATTCAAGTATTTGTGAAATTTTAATATTGATTTTCTGATTTGTATCAGTTTCACAAGATTTTCTCAAGATTAGTACGAATTATGAATCATAGTTGCTTCCAATTTTATATTGTATAATTTTTATCTAAGCTCTGAATAACATTGTTCTAAGAAACAAACGTATCAATAAAATTTAGTTCATTGCGAACATTAAAAAATTATCGGTGCGAATTTGCTTTTGGCTCCGTTACTTGTTTCTTTTGGTAATTTAATTAACATTGAAAAAATGTGACTAGGTTGACACGCGTATAGATTTTTTTAGTTTATTTTAATTATTTGCTACATAAACAAAAAGATAGAGGTAATTTTCAACATAAATAGAGGTTCAAGTTTCTGCAAACATTTTTTTTCGGTTTCACTCTAAATAAACATGCTCAAAGTTATATCAGAGAAGAAAAGAATACATTCTTTTTTATTTATGACATATGTAAAAGTTATATTAACTTATACATATTTATATATATAAATTAAAGTATAATAAATTATTAAATATTAGAACATATCAAATGCAAAAACAATTTTATGTGAATGCAATGGCAAAAGTGGAAATAGTCAATGTTGGAAATTTTAATGATGAAAAGTGACTTTTGCAATTTTATAATTGGCATTGTTTATGTCAACTTTCGTACCATTTGAAGTTGATTTTTTTTCTCGGTTGTTATTTTCCTATTTTCTCTTATTTTTATAGTTCCATTAGCTATTTTTAACATCAATTTTTCTAGTTTGAATATAATAAAATCATTGAAGTTTGTAACAATGGGTAGTATAAAAAAAAATTGAAAACTTTCTTGAGGCACTATGCCACTAACTCCCGTTTTCATCTACATTTTTGTAGATGTATGAAGTATCGATGTTATATGGATGAATATCATGTTAAATAATTATTCTGAATTTGAGTCATCATTTTAAATTTCTGATCTTAATCTATCCTAAAAATAAGTCCTGTGATAATAAATTATTGAAAATTGGTTTAATAACATCCAAAACTTTATCACTCAGAGTAGGATTATTGTAAAACTTTGAAAATGCCAACAAAAAAAATAGATTTCTCAAAACTTATTGATTATAAAAACTTTTTTTATGAATATTATAATTAATTATAAATTTGATATTATCAAACTCTTTCACTCTCAGTGAGAATATGGAAGAGCCCCAACAGATTTGGCTACCTTTAAATTCAACAGATTATACGAATTTTTAGTTCAAAGAAATTTAAACAGTTTTTTTTAAATCATTAATAATTGCACAATCAAAAATTAGGAAGCCATAAGAATAGTGTAGTCAAAATGGTCTACTGAGCTGACCTATGAGGTACATCATTCGTCTTTTGTGAAATAATTAAAGCAAGGCATTGCAAATTAAGGAAATACACAAAATATTTTACTGAAATTAGTATTTTTTGTATCCTTTAATAGAATACATATTACCAACATAAAGGTTCATAGAAGCTACTTGCAAGTTTAAAGAATTATTAGAACTTTCAGAAAAATTTAAATCAGTCAAATTTCTTTTGTTAGTGAATGGTTTCAATCTACCCAGGTCATTGATGTCTGATATACTTGCATATCTAAACCAACGTCACAAAATCGAGAAAATAGTTGCCGTTCATCCATTCCAGAATAATTTTATAATTTATTGCCTGCATTTACAGTTGGTCTCGACGTCTTCCGCGCTCATGCATGATTGTTCTGATCATTAAACACATAACGGTTTGCACTAACTTGCATTATAATTAAAAATTTCGTCTTGAACTCTAAAACACATTTGCCCGTGAATTACTAATTGAATACTGCATACCCGATATGCGAATGAACTGCTTCAATGAGAATTCAATGTACTTACAAAAACATTGGCACTTGGCGTTTTTGTACCAAGACTATGATACGTTAGCGTTTTGCATATAAAATGGTACTGAAACCTGTCAAAATGCTATGTATTTGCTGTGCAATCAGGTGTTTTACACATAAAATATAACTTCACTGATATGTTATTATGCCACATCACAAAGATGCACTTGTAATATCTTTGTTAGGTTTTCTATCTAAAATACAAGATTGCGCAGCAACCACATAGAATTTTGACAGTTTTTAGTACCATTTTATATGAAAAAACGATACATACCATACTCTTGCTATAACATTGGTCTATTTGACGGCTGAATCGTGCCAATACTTTACAAATTACATTTACTTAATATATAATTTTTTTACTGGCTTAATGTGTAATTTTAGAGTTAAAAAATCCATTCTTAAACTTCTTTTTACAAATTCGTATCACCAGATAAGCTTTGGTCCAATTTTAATATTATTGTTATTTTAGGTTTTTCTACATGCATTGATTTATAGAATCGTGAAATCCATTTTGAACAATAACTTTTAAAAACTATTACCATCAAACGCTTTAGACCAATTTTTTTTTAGGTTTTTCGTCTTTTTTATAGAAAATTGATGTAATTATTAAAAAAATGAACCAGTATCGACTATCTCAGATTTCTTTTTCATTTTCTAGAATATTCCAGGATATGTTATGGATTGTCATACTTTTTTATTTCATTTCATATTTATAAGTGTTTATTATACTAATTCTCAGCAGTTTGGAGGCAGCAGCTGCCATTTAGTAGACTTTTATAAATTCAACTGATTTTTTAATTACTTGTAATTTTATATAGCTTCAAATCCCACATTAGATTACTACAGCTATAACTAATTAGCTACACGAATGACGCAGAGTTCACTTCCCAATGTCAATATCATCACCAATATCTATTATCTAATATCATTATTATGATTCTAATATAACATGTAAATAAATGAGGAAGATTACTGAATTTAATTATTTTTTAGTTCTGGGAGATCATCTCCGATGAACATGGTATCGACCCAACTGGTGCCTACCACGGAGACTCCGATCTTCAATTGGAACGTATTAATGTTTACTACAATGAAGCATCCGGTGGTAAATACGTTCCTCGTGCGATTTTAGTAGATTTGGAACCAGGAACTATGGATTCTGTTCGTTCTGGACCATTTGGACAAATCTTTAGACCAGATAATTTTGTTTTTGGGCAAAGTGGAGCGGGAAATAACTGGGCCAAGGGACACTATACCGAAGGAGCTGAACTTGTTGACTCTGTTTTAGATGTAGTTCGTAAGGAAGCCGAATCATGTGACTGCTTACAAGGATTTCAGTTAACTCATTCCTTGGGAGGAGGTACCGGATCTGGCATGGGCACACTCTTAATCTCAAAAATTCGTGAAGAATACCCAGATAGGATAATGAACACATACTCAGTAGTGCCATCACCTAAAGTATCAGACACAGTGGTAGAACCTTACAATGCAACTTTATCCGTACATCAGTTGGTAGAAAATACAGATGAGACCTATTGTATTGACAATGAAGCTTTATATGATATTTGCTTCAGGACTTTAAAACTAACCACACCCACTTATGGAGATTTAAATCACTTAGTTTCCTTAACAATGTCTGGAGTCACCACCTGCCTTCGTTTCCCTGGTCAATTAAATGCTGATCTGAGAAAATTGGCAGTAAATATGGTACCGTTCCCACGTCTCCACTTCTTTATGCCAGGTTTCGCACCCCTCACATCCAGGGGAAGTCAACAATACAGAGCCCTCACAGTCCCAGAACTCACCCAACAAATGTTTGATGCCAAAAACATGATGGCCGCATGTGATCCTCGACATGGACGCTACTTGACAGTAGCAGCCGTCTTCAGAGGACGCATGTCCATGAAGGAAGTAGATGAGCAGATGTTAAATATCCAAAACAAGAACAGCAGCTACTTCGTAGAATGGATTCCAAACAATGTCAAGACAGCCGTTTGTGATATTCCGCCCAGAGGTCTAAAAATGGCTGCTACTTTTATTGGTAACTCCACTGCCATCCAAGAACTGTTCAAACGTATCTCAGAACAATTCACTGCTATGTTCAGAAGAAAGGCTTTCTTGCATTGGTATACTGGCGAAGGTATGGATGAAATGGAATTCACTGAAGCCGAGAGCAACATGAATGATTTGGTCTCAGAATACCAGCAATACCAAGAAGCCACTGCTGATGAAGATGCCGAATTTGATGAGGAGCAAGAAGCTGATGTCGACGAAAACTAAATTGTTTTTCACTTAAATTTTTCACTTGTGTTCTGAGATAATAGATTTTACAAAAGCTTTTCTGAGTTACATGCACCAGATTTATTATTTATTTTATTAGCCATGACAAACTCAATGCGGATTTTTGTAAAGCAACGAATATATATTCCAAATTTAAAAGTTATAGATATGTCTGTTATTCCTTGAACAAAAGACAAATATTTTCAATTTATTTTTGTCAAATCAATGCTGTATTTATTATATTTAATAAATGACAATTTATTGACCAATATTTAAGTACTTTTATTTTATAGGTAAGTATACCATATTCCGGTATGTTAAGGAAAGTTGGAATTTAAAGATGATTTTTAGAAATAGTATAGAAAAGTGAATGAGATAAAACTGTTCTATTCTAGACTTGTAAAATTTTTATTTTGCATCGTAGAACGTCATTTATGGGAATTTCGCTGTTTTGCTGAACTACGGCTTTGTCCTCAATTCCGTGATAAAATTTGCCGACTAACATAATTCCGTACATCGTTTGTGTCTAATTCTACAAATGCTTCGAAGCATACGTTATTGTTCAACCGATTTGAATGGTTCAAAAAACATTCGATTCCTATTGATAGGGAGATGTGCTGATTAGTTTTTGATAAAAGTCGGTCCAGCCGTTTTGGAGATGCAGAGCGAAGAATGTAGAAAATAGAAATCGAGTTTTTAAGAGAACGGAGTATCCGATTTGAATGATCTAAAAAACATTCAATTTGTAATGATTGGAAGAAAAGGTGATTAGTTTTTAGCAAAGGCAGGTCCAGCTATTTCGAAGATACAAAGATAAATATGCAAAAAATGGCAGTTTTTGAGATAACTAAGCGTCCGATTTGAATTCTTCTAAGAACTTTCTTTTCAACAAAATAATTGCTATTAGAAAAAAAAAATTTGTTTTTAATTTTTTATTCAAACTCTTTTTTTTCAAGATTTTTTTTTTTTTTTTTGGTTATCGAAAATAATTCAGATTTTAAATTTAATTTTGCTCTAATATACTTTAAACAAATAATTTCAACTTTGCGATTCAGTTTATATATTTATTTTATTTATTTATTTATTTATTCATAAGCAAGCCGTAATCAATAATAATAGATATTATTTCAGGCTCTTGTCAAGCTTATTCATAGTTAATATTAAAAGGATAGTAATTTTATAATAATCATAGTAGCTGCACGAATTTCGCTTCTGAAAAAAAGAGCTGAAAAAAAGCATTCGAACATTAAATACAATGTTCATCATCATCAAGTTCATCATATTAAAGTCTATTTGACCACCAGTCAAGCTCAAAATTCTTGCACAAGGTTGAAAGTTATACTCATTTAAAACCGTAAAAAATTTAATCTAATAAAATAGCAATAAAAAAAAAGAAAAAAAAAATAAAATAATGGTTGTACAGGCGATCAAATGGTCAGACTACATAGATACAGGATAAGGATTATGCAGGAAAATAGTTATTGAATTCAAATTGAGAAAATTCAGTAATGTCATAAAAAGCTAAGTCTTTAAAAAGTTTAACTAGGGAAGCATGAAATTTTTTGCTGTCTAAGTTTCGGATATTGAGTGGAAGTTTATTCATAAGCTGAATACCTAGACCGTCGATCGTATTGAAAGAGCTGGCTAATTTATATGTGCGCGCCTTAATAAGTTTGTGTCTAGTGTTATAGTTTGAGGAGGACGAAGCCATATCAAAAAGTTTCGAATTGTTTTTGATGAAAGTTAATGTTACCAGCAGAAAAATGCATGGGACAGTTAGAATATTGTATTTTTTAAATATGGGTCTGCAGGAGGCTTTACTGGGCAAGGAAAAATTATTCGAATAGCTCTTTTCTGAAGCTTAAATATTTTAATTAGTTCGGATGAAAACCCCAGAATTGAATGCCGTATGAAACGTGAGAATAAAAGTTGCTATAATAAACTGAAAGTAAGCAATTTAAACCAAGTTTGGGTTTTAGGGTGCGCAACATGAAACATGTTCTAGATAAAGTTGGTGATAGAGAGATAGAGATATGATCAGACCACTTTAAATTATTATTAATATGGATACCAAGAAACTTTGATACTTGCGAAAAATTATGTGTTGAATTATTGATGGTTAAAGAAGTAATATTATTGGATAAACGATTTTTTGTACAAAAAGATATGATTTGGGTCTTATCATTATTGAGAACTAGATTATTTTCACAAAACCATTTCGTTATTTCTGACATAACCACGCTTAATTTATGTTGTAATTCATTAAGAGATTTGGCCTTGATGATAACGCTGGTATCATCCGCAAAAAGAATAAAATCACAAAGATTTGTACAATGAGGTAAATCATTAATATATATGAGAAATAAGAGAGGCCCTAAAATTGATCCTTGGGCACGCCCAATGTACTTGTCAATTTATCCGAAATTATTTGCTCGTGATCGTTATTTAAGTAAACGCTTTGTGTTCGATTAGACAGGTAAGATTCAAATAGTTTGAGCGAACGTCCGCGAATACCACAATTTTCTAATTTGTCAAGAAGTCTTTGATGAGAAATACTATCGAAAGCTTTGGACAGATCGCAAAATATCGCAGTACAATATGTGGCTTCTTCGAAGGAGTCAATGATGTTATGAACTAAATTATAAATTGAGTGGGAAGTGAATGGTTCTTTCGGAAACCATGCTGATTCTTGAACAAAATATTATATTTATTGAGAAAAGACGTTAACCTAGTATGCAAGATTTTTTCAATTATTTTATCGAAAGAGTTCAAGAGGGAAATGGGACGGTAATTATTTATATCGTCTTTATTATTTTTCTTATGAAGTGGAAAAATCTTTGAATGCTTGAGGTGGGATGGAAATATTCCTTCATCGAAGCATTTATTTAAACATAACATAAATTTATCTATGAAAAAGGGATAGAATTCTTTAAGAATAAGACTAGGTATCTGATCCGGACCGCTGAACTAGTAACTTTTATCGATAGAAAGGTTTGCTTTAGTTCTTCTAAATTTACAGGATAAAGAACGAATGTAGAATTATTTCGCGCGGATAAAGATTTAGTCGAACTAGTGGTGATCGAGTTGATTGCGCTTGTTAATTTAGACGCTTCGGTGACAAAAAAGTGATTAAATTTATTAGATATGACTACCTTATCAATAATCTTGTCGCCGTTAATTGTAAGACAATCAATCTGTGAAGATTTAGTTTTCGTGTTGATTTCCGAGTTAATTAAGGACCAAATTGTTTTCTGTTTATTTGCTGAATTAAAAATCAAGTTTTCGTTGAATTTGATCTTCGCTAAATTGATTAGATCATTTAAAGTTGCCCTATATTTCAAAAAATAAATTATAAAAGCCATGTTATTATTATGTACCGATAATCTCTCAAGAAATGCTAATCTTTTAAGTGAAATTCTCAACCCTTTAGTTAGCCAAGGAGTTGAAGTATTATTTTTTGGGCAAACGGTTTTCTTAATGAGAGGAAAAGCTTGATTGAAGTTGAATAAAAATGTAGAAATAAAGTTGTCGAACATTGTATTTGAGTCTTTGGACTTGTTAAGCAAGGTCCATGATTCCTTTTCCAAAAGACATTTGAAAATCAATTTATTTGATTCATCAAAATAACGTTTGTGTAAGATAAAGGTAGATTTAAAAGTTGAAAAATTACAAAAATTTAATAATATGCCTCGATGGTCTGAAAGAGTGGTATTTATAACACGTGAATCAAAGTCTTTTAAATTGGTGAAGAAATTATCAATGCAAGAAGAAGATTGATGCGAAAAACGAGTAGGTTCATGTATAGTACGAGTTAAGCCAAAAGACTGCATATTCAAATTGAATTCAATGGATGGCTTCGATTGCTTATCAAAGTGTATATTAAAATCGCCGCAAACAATGATTTTGGAATATTTATCAAAAAGGTTATGAATCAATTCGTACATCAGCGAGATGAACATATCAACATTCTGGTCAGGTGATCGATAAACGCATATAAGACACACGACGTCATTTGAGAGATTAATTTCAACAGCACAATATTCAAAAAGTTTTTCTACTTGAAGAGTATTAGTATAAACGGGTTTAGAACGAATAAAATCACTTACAAAAATGCACACACCTCCGTGGCCATATTGAGTTTCGACAGAAATGAGAAGATAAATTATAACCTTTAATTTTAATTAATTCAAGATCCGACTTATTTAACCAGTGTTCAGCAAAACATAATATTTGGGGTTTATAATTATCTATAACTACTTCTAATTGATTAAGTTTATTGGATAGTTTTTGTATGTTTTGAAAAATAATTGCAAATTTGTTATCAACTTTAGGCACGAAAGGAATTAGAAACCGAAGGTTTCATTCCCGCCACAGCCTTGACACTTAACAACTCGTTAGCTAAAACCCTACATAATTTTCTTTTCCCGTTGAAAAGAAAATGTAAGCCATTGTTGTGCCCGCTGCACAACACTATATTCCTATATCGAATACTCTATTAGTATACACACCACCAGCTAGGACAGGCGAAGGGTATCGGAGATACCCGAAGATTTCCGAAGGAGATAACCCTATGATGCACATGCGATTTTCGGTCTCTTCTTGGCAACTAGCGGCGATACTAAACTACCAAATTCAATTAAATACAAACTACATCAAATATTCATTCAAAGTGTTCTATTAGTATTAATAAATTATTTTATAAGTCAAAAGGACTTTCTTGAGTTTGAATTTATAATTATATATCCTCGATATAATCTCCGCTGAAGGCAACTACACGCTGAAATATTTCATTGTTAAAGCAATGAAATATACGAAGCACAACATTGGTGGCGAGCGGTAAAATCCAACACAAAAACAGGCCTGGAGGATCGAGGAAAACACAGGAAAGTAAGCTGGAAAACAAAGCCAAAAGCAAGTAAGCCTCCTAGATTACTCTATATTCGACGCACGCGCGAACCTGGCCGCCATCTTGAAAACTTGAAACCAAGCGACGCGGTCGGACGGCGTCTTCTCTATACAGGCAAATTCCACTACAA